TAGTTCTATAAATTAACAAATAACATTCTCATATACTTGACTTATGTGAATAAATCTTACAAGACTTTGTTGACCAGGGCTGAACTCATGACACTGAGCTTCTGAACCTGCAACAATGAAGCATTAATGCTCCAATCAAGATTCAAACACTCCATGAGGCTCACCTTGAAAGAATAAAGAAAGGCTGCTGCCCTAGCTGGTTTGGCTCAGTGGAAGGGTCCCGGGTTCAATTGCGGTCAAGGACAGGGGCCTTGGTTGCAGGCTCCTCCCAGGTCAGGCTCATGCAGGAGGCAACCAATCGATGTGTTCCTCTCACATCGATATTTCTCCCTGTCTTTCCCTCTCTCTTCCATTCTCTAAAAAACAAATGGAAAAATGTCTTTTATAGAGAATGGCAAAGTCCTGTCTCACTAACATTTGAGCAGTTTTGCTGTTGGCACAGGGGTTACATGTGAGAGACCCTCTGAGACCTGGGAATTAACACAGGTCTATAAGAGCTCAACTTAAAATCACCTAAAGGATTAGAGTGGGGTATGCTTGGTCACTTTATATTTTTATTTTTGAAATATATTTTTTATTGTTGATAGTATTACAGATATCTCCCATTTTCTCCCCTCTCTCCTCCCAGCCCTGCTTGGTCACTTTAAACAGAAAGATTGGCTCTCAAACAAGCAAGCTCTCACATCAAACTGATTCTTTCAGTTTGCAAGACATTCAATTGGGCAAGGCAGCCGGAGTGTTTATGAAATAAGGAAAATGAATAACATAAATAGTGGCAGTGTCCCTTCTCAGCACTACTCAGCGAAGAGAGTTTTGAACAATGGACTTTAAATCTCAGAAAGGAAACCTTGGGGAGCAACATGGATAAAATTAACTCCCGGTAGCCCTGGCCAGTTTTTTCAGTGGATAGAGTGTCAGCCCTCGGACTGAAGGGTCATGGTTCGATTCTGGTTGAGGGTACATACCTTGGTTGCAGGCTCAATCCCCGGCCCTGGGCAGGGTGCATGGGGGAAGCAACCAATGTGTCTCTCTGTCTCTCCCCATCTCTTCTACTTTCTCTAAAAATCAATGGAAAAAATATCCTCGGGTGAGGATTAATAAATAACAAAATAATAACTCCTTGTAGAAGTAATCCAGTGCCACAATCTTTAAATGAATGGCTGAGGGGTTTGGAGGAAGAACAGATCCCAATCAAGGCAACCAGCGTAGAGTTTTCAAGATAATTTTATTCTATTAACATCCCTGAAGCTACAGTGCAGTCAAGGGTGTTGAGGTCTGACGAGAAGAGAGGGGTCAGTTCTAGCTTAGAAAAGCTTAAAGAACAAGGATCTGCCCGGTCCTTGCAGCACTGGCTGAAGAAGGTGCGGCGCAGACAGGTGAGTATTTCTGCCTGCAGGTGTCCCCAGTGGGGCAAGATCCGCAATCTCAGCGAGCAAAGGCAAGCCATTACCCCCGCAACAAGCTTGTCATGCAAGGTATTTCTTAAAATGTTCTGTTCAGGATTGTTTCCTGTCAGGAGGGAAGGGAGGAAATGCCAGTGTGTGTGTGTGTGTGTGTGTGTGTGTGTGTGTGTGTGTGAACTGGCCATAATAGGGCCACTTGTCACAGGTGCAAATTCATGAGCCTGGGCCCAGAATAACTAGAAAACAACATGAAGAGTAACTGTCTGGTGGAATCGTGATGATGTCTTACTTCACTGATTGTTTGTTCATTATTTCATTTATTCAAATATTTTTAAATTCCCTGCTCTCACAGGGTAGCAGGGAAGACAGACAGGTAATCGCAACCAAACTACACTGGATTGTTTTGAGCACTCATTATGCACCAGACATTGTGTTAGGTGCTGGGAGATAGAGAGCTGAATAAAAGATGGTTTCCAGGCTACCCCACTGTGCAGTTGAGGTTGAGAACCACTGATCTGGAGCATTAATACCTGTTTTGGGGGTACAATTCCTGATGGTTATGCAATTGGGCAAATATAAGACATTGGGATTGGGACAAGGGGGTCAATATTTGGGCTCTACAAAATCCATTAATTTTAGCCTTAGACTTCACAGGAAACCCTCAAACTAAAATTCTGCTATTTCTCCCAGCTTCTCAATAACATATTGTAAAATTCTTTACAGTTAATGGTTTTGGTGCATGGGACTAACTGATAGCTTTTTAGGGGAAAAAAAGTTTTTCCTATTATACAGGATATAACTTAAAAAAATTTGAACAATATAAAAGTAGCCTGTAATTGCACCTGGAGTAAAAGCCAGGGGTGTGTACGGCATAAGTTACTCAGGAGGAAAAGGCAATGCCCGTCAGCAGCTAAGACGAGGACGCACAGCTCCACCCAGCCTCTCCCCTCTCAGAGCCACCTGTCTCCCTGCCAGCCTCAGGCCAAGTCCCTCCACCTGCACTTTGGATGCGGCCCGCTCCCACCTTCTCAGAAACTGTACAAGCCTGTTATCCCTTTTTCCTCTTGCCATTTGCAACATGGCCTCTAAACCGGATCCCTCCATTAACTTTTTAAAATGTTCAAGTCTCTCTCATTAAAAGAAATACCTCTACTCAGCTCCTTACCTTCCACTTTCTATCAGTTCCCTCTCTCCTCTTCACAGCAAAACTTCTTGAAAGAGCCGGTCTACACTCAGTTTATCCACATTTCACCTCCCATCCCATCCTCAGCCATCACACCACCAAGTGTCTCTCCCCAAGGGCACCAATTATCTTCATGTTGCTAAATCCGACCTGCTTCTCCAGCCCTGTCTTACTTGATACTGGTAGTGCTCATTGTTGGCTGTCTACACAGCTTCTATTTCTCCATTCTTCCTTTACAGCCAAATCCCAATTTTATTCAGGTTTCTATTTTCTCCTAAAGTGTTTCAGGGAAGGGTGACCTCAACTTCAAGGGCAGACAGCCTCTGGGCTAGGCAGCCTGGCTTTCCCCTGGTGATTGGCGTTGGTTGAGGGTGTGCATGTGAACCAAACTGGCTCAGACAGAAAAGAACTATGATTGGGAAGAGAAAACACACCACCACCTCCTTTTACTCTTGTTTCTCTTTTATGTAAGAGAATGTGTTTCTTTAATGCATTAATCTAGTTTTAGAGGGTATTTTCTATTAATTACACCCAAAATCATCCCAACTGACACGTTTAACCCTACTGGCCATTCTTCTCCTCAAATGCTCTTCCTTTGATACTGCCTGTCCCCACCCACTCTGGTTTTCCTTCTACAG